TCGAAATGAAGGTGACCGAAGATGATCATTGTCCTTCTCCTACATAACATCTAGGAGCTCATCCAAAATGTGATTGCCTATGACACCATGCCGATAATCATGCTAGGCAGCAATTCTGAAAGCTTAGTTTCATCTGAGCACTAATGCACTGAGCGATTGAGACGTGCTTCCATTCCTTTTGCATCTTTAGCTTTGTTATTTTGATGAACATTTAGATAAAATGAGCCGTAAACGTTGAAATCCGATCGTTTTTGTCAGCCAAATCTTAGTACATTGTGGCGGAACCAGAATTTGCGCAGATACTGAAGACGACCATTCCCCACCACTTCCACTCATTTTCCACCCCCGAGATAATAAAAAAACATCGATCTTTTGGATGTAACACCCTTTTGGTGCCTAGCTGTAACGCTACCCGAAGTGAGCATGAGGCTTGAGATACTACTAGATCGCTCAACCCTAGACAAGAGAAGTCTAGATGGTGGAACTGGGTTCGAACCAGGGACTTTCCTTCCACCAAGGTTGCGCTTTTTGCCCTGAGCTACCTTGTGTTCTCGGGGCATGTTGGACAAGTGACAGGTTCTAAGGTTCAGTTCCGTAAATCAATAATCTGAGTGTTTTGTTCATCACGTCAATCTGAGCTACCTCTAAGGACAAAAAAGACAGCCTTTATAGCCATTTTAGGACTCAGTGATTCAAGACCAAATAGGGTTCTATAGCTAACCGACTTTGGACTATACCGAGGTGTCCAGCCCTGTGAAAGGGTACTAGGTATCTTCTCGACACCCTCTGGGTCCTCACAAGGTAATGATCCGTTTTTCAGAATCGTAGTCTTTTGGGCTGGGTACTTTTGTTCCTAATGACACCACGGACAAGCAGATAATTTGATTCTCGTCAGCAGCTGAAGTAAAGTAGTAGTACCCAGTCAAGTGCAGTTCTCCATGATACAACAGAAGAGACTGTTCGTTCCGTTGTAAATTTCTGTTTTCCAGGTATGTAAACCTTGCTAGAAAAAGAATTCATTATGTCTACGAATAGCTGACTTCATTACATTTTCTTACCCCTACCCACATTTTTGTAGCCGGCCGGAAAAACTCATTCTCTGTAATGATGATACCGATCATCTGTGCGTCCATTTTGGCCCAGTTCAATTGAATAGATTGTTTTTTGTCGCATTGCATTGCTGTTAATATCATACACGTTGTTAAAAATATTAAAAGAATTGTTGAATAATACCTTTTGCCTACTCAGCCAACCCTCAGTGTGGTTGTCAATCACAGAGTTAGCATTTCCATAACTGAAAGATGTCATTCTGAATCTGTTTAGCAAGAGTAGAGTGTAGTAATGAGGTAATTTTAACAACTGCAACACCGATATGTAAGAAAACGCCTAAAGGCATGTCCCTGTTCAACGAATACAGCATATTCAGCAAGTTTTCTATAATTTGTATACCAATAAAATTCCCCTCAAAATTTTGTGAGGTAACTGTAGAGCAATCATTGACTGCAAATTCCATACAATAGAAGTGGAGTGTATGACAGGAAAAATTACACGGCCTATTAACATAGATGATTTATCTGCAATATCTATTGATGTCTCTTGTACTGCCGATGGATACTGGATGTAAATGCAAGACGATCGCACACTGTGTCCGGCGGTTTCATCGGTGGGTGAACTTTCGGTGACATTCTTCATGCCATCAGTGATGCTAGCCATAATATAATTCAGAAGGTGTATGCACTAATAACATTTTTTATCATGGTTGACAGTGGTGAGACGCAACACGCGTAAAAATAAATGCAAAGCGGGATGTGGAGCAAGTCAATTGAGGAACTTATTACCGATCATCTGTGCGTCCATTTTGGCCCAGTTCAATTGAATAGATTGTTTTTTGTCGCATTGCATTGCTGTTAATATCATACACGTTGTTAAAAATATTAAAAGAATTGTTGAATAATACCTTTTGCCTACTCAGCCAACCCTCAGTGTGGTTGTCAATCACAGAGTTAGCATTTCCATAACTGAAAGATGTCATTCTGAATCTGTTTAGCAAGAGTAGAGTGTAGTAATGAGGTAATTTTAACAACTGCAACACCGATATGTAAGAAAACGCCTAAAGGCATGTCCCTGTTCAACGAATACAGCATATTCAGCAAGTTTTCTATAATTTGTATACCAATAAAATTCCCCTCAAAATTTTGTGAGGTAACTGTAGAGCAATCATTGACTGCAAATTCCATACAATAGAAGTGGAGTGTATGACAGGAAAAATTACACGGCCTATTAACATAGATGATTTATCTGCAATATCTATTGATGTCTCTTGTACTGCCGATGGATACTGGATGTAAATGCAAGACGATCGCACACTGTGTCCGGCGGTTTCATCGGTGGGTGAACTTTCGGTGACATTCTTCATGCCATCAGTGATGCTAGCCATAATATAATTCAGAAGGTGTATGCACTAATAACATTTTTTATCATGGTTGACAGTGGTGAGACGCAACACGCGTAAAAATAAATGCAAAGCGGGATGTGGAGTGGAGCAAGTGAGGAACTTATCGTTTGTGAAAGTCCCATGGTCGACGAGAACGTGTTTTCTTCGTAGATATATCCGCTACACGTGTTCCTTCCTAGTCCGTGGACTTATGGAGTTTGGCGGACTCCTTGCTCCGTGCGCGCGAGTCTGTCTGCCGACTGTGTTGTGTGTCGATTGGCCGAGTTCCGTCCTTATATACATCTAGTGGGCCGTGAAAAACAACACTGTGAAATCACATTGATCCCTGAACGGGTTCACGGAACCTGTCTTCGGCCAAATGTCGTATTCGTCGGCAGGATGTTGATGCGCGATTGCAGGGCAGACAAAACAAAATGTGGATAGTAAGTGCAGGTGTGGAATTGCTTGTAGGAGTAACTAAACGGAAGGGTAGCCGTTACAACACTAGGACTGATGACCTAATGTGGAAAGAACTACCTGTTGAATGAAGTGGGATGATTTCATTTTCACCTGGGTGTGACTGTTGCCCACTTTCCAACCACCAACTTAAACAGCATTTGTGGCAGTACTGCCCAGTAGTGCAAGTTCAACACAAGTAAATTCTTTCATGATTACACTTCACAGCAAAATGAAATTTTTGGCGGATCTTCATGGGCAATTCTTTTTTGGCTCAGGAAGCATACCAAAACACCAAGTGCCAAGCTTTCACTTGGTTGATAAGAAAACCACCCATCTGTTGCCTTTTAATATTGTTTCCCTGGTAAACGTAGTGATGGTTTACCGCAGACAACCTGATATTATTAATATGATCCTCTACCTCGATTTGTTTAATCATTACGGCAGAATTCGCAAGGAAACAGGTACCTTTGACCAAACTGCCTGATGAATGGTTGCCACAGTATTGGAATGAGATCTTTAGGAGTTTCAGCAATTACGAGGCAAGCGAACACCTGAACAAGCGTTCCAATCATCTTCTACGTTCTTCAAAGCAAATCAGGGTAACTTATTTTGATTGCACTCTTTACAAGTGAGGCATACGTTGACACCAGTCCTAACCACTATTCCGTCGCTTGATTGCTCAGTTTGCCGAATTACATGAAGTTCTTTTGTGGTGCAGGAGGAGTGTAGAGAACGGACTTCGATGAGCCTTGGTAGTTGGTAGCAGTCACAATCTATGAAATTATTTTTTAATGATCAGAGTGGATTTAACCGTTCACTAGGCATATTATAAAACTGAGGGATGGATGGTCATTCAAACTGTCCTTCTGGTGCTCCAGTCCTTTGGGTTTGGCCAAAGTGTCCTTTCGGCAATTCAGGAGGTGGATTGACAACAACTCTGGCAACAACTCATACACCTAGGACAGGTGGTGGTTCATTTCTATCACACCACAAAACGTGTTTATATCTAATTACAAAGGCCTACATATTACGATGAGCCATTTCATCGGGAAGGAAACATATCTTGCATTTGTAGGACCAGTGGCTGTTTCCATCAATAGCAGGGGCAAGTGGATGTGAATAACCCAACGGTGTAGTTTACGGCATTCCCTGCATCGGGACATGTAGTATAACGACAACCCGACTACCATTGACAAGTTGTATTGGCCATTGGCAAAATATGGCCATGGAATCCTCGAAAGTAACTCTGACACAGAGTCTGCTCATGGTCTCACAGTAAAATACAGGATATCGAACACATCAAACCTCTTGTAGATTAGTGTAAATGGCGTCCCGATGTGTGGGGAAAAGGCGACCGTCAAGTTGTGGTCATGATATCTATACTAATGTTAACCTAAATGGTATTTACTCACAAAATATCCGCTAGCTGATCAAGACAAGAGAATGTTCAAATGTTTGCAGAATGGCTATGGACCATACAGAGCTTGTCTTGGTTAATATTGAATGAAAATTGCTTGTGAAATCCGCCTGCCCCTGATACCGATTGGATGGGATATAACTGGTAATAACGGAAAATTATGTTCTCAAGGGCACCTATAAACTGCTGCTTCTAATACATACCCCAAGTTTGCGTAGTTTATAGTGTTCTCATCTGAATTAAACACAATGGGGTATGTGAACCTATAGGTGGTGGTTTTGGAAAGGCATCCGCGTAACTTGACGCGCACACATTAAGCGTACCGGTCGACGTCGGAATGGTTCAGTAATTATTAATCCGCTGTAAGTACGAGAAGAACTGGAAATTTCAATCGAGGTTGTTCTGTAAATGAGACCAATTTATGTTGAAAAACCTGAGAAGCACCGTCCAGCAGTTTCATCCCGATTGCACATTATCAGCGCTGCACATCTCACGAGCCCGCCATTTTTTTCAATAAGTGATGAAATACACGATACTGAGTGAATGGATGTGTATCAAAATCATAAAACTCACGAGGAATGGATGCAGAGTAGAAAAAGATTTACAACAAAAATGTCTATGAGTCGATCAGTTTTTGGTGCATCGTCATGAAACAAGTGAAAAAACTACTAAAGGAGGTACACCGCTGATTCAGCTATCCCCAGCATCGTAGAGGGCCTGGATGTGATGGGCGAATTTCTGCCGCAGTTGAGGTCGTGCGATCTTCATTGTTGGAGTCAGTAGGCCGTTGGCAACGGAGAACGGTTCATCTGATAGATGAACCGCGCGAATCTAAAAAGTTTAAGGATTTCTTAAGTTAAAATGTTCACAAATTTACTGTAAACAATTCGGGATCCCAAAACCGATTTTGCCCTTCGTCAGGGTAACCGGATAGGGGAAGTCTCCGAGTTTCTGCCAAACTTATGTTTTACGTAAACCAAAAATATATAAAGTTTGCAAGGTGAAACCATTTGCACCCCAATTTGGTTTTAATAAGAGACTTAGCTAAATTCCCGATGGAGAATATCATAAACCGGAGATTTCTCAGCTGGAATTCAGCCGATTCTCCGTTAAAGCAAACCGATGCGTAACCAAGTGTATTTTGCGAAAACGTATGGTGGATATTCTGATTTGGTGCACTCTAAAGCAAGTCAACCACAATTATATTAGCTAGTTCATCACGCAGTATGTGACACGAAATGGGTTTCCCTGTCTCAGGTGACGGTGTTCTCTTTTGGGTTGATTATTTCTTCACCGTTGTTTCTTGATGAAAGTGATATTCCGGAATCCGACCTCCCTGATTATTTTTTCTCTAGAGAGACCGCAGCTGAGTAAAGGGAATATGATGTCCCCCAGTGTGCAGACTTCCTCAAGGGTGACATGCTGTGCAGGTTTGTGTCACCTAATCCGCAGTACTTGCTTAACAGAATATATACCGAGGATGTCACCTCAGTTGGCGGTGCGACATTTGGAATCACCTTTCCCCATCTCAGCGAATAAACCAACAACTATCTATGCTACACGACTTACCAGCATTTACCTTGAGAACAAGTGAATCTATATCTTACGATGATGGGTTCAGTTACACTTAGCGCAAACGAATGAAAATGTCTGAATTGAAAGACATGGGTTTTCAAAATGATCTGGAATGTTCTTATTCGAGTATATGCTGGTCCCCGTTGAGAAAAGTAAGCGCATTATTCGTCGTCGCAAGTGCCAAGAAAAGTGTACTAACGATTGTCGTCTGTGAACCAGTACTATGTGACCTACTCAAGGAAACAATATGGTTACAGATTTCGTCACGTGCTGTGAATATATTTCGTGAATGGGATCATAGTTAGAGCCTAATTGTGCTGTAGAAACCCGGCGCAATTTGACGGCACAACAGATATTAAGGTTACCTGCACATTTTCGTTGGTACAGACCTTCTGTCTAGGCAATAGTGTTATGGTAAGTCTATCAGGCGGAGGAATATCGGGCCCAAGCCTTCCTCTTTTGGGAGCAAAATATAACTTTTTCCACGCTCCGGGCAAGTGGCCTGCTGGGTGAGTGTATTACAATCAATCTGACAGCAAAACCTGGACACACCTCACTCATCACTTCCGGAAAAACAAACATGTTTACACTCGGGGCTAATGGTTAGTTTACCCAACAGTTCGAGTGTGTTGTCAGATGTCGGTTGATTGAGCGACTGGTAAGATTCTCAAACATGCACTGCATCAAAACACTTAACATCTACTTTGTTACTCCGACCCAAACTGAATGGAATTTTCGGTGCTTCAGAGAGAGTAATATGAACTCAAATTCAAAGACCATAGTAACCGTCCATAACGAATGCAATGCAAGTGATGTGCACCTTTTTACTTCTTCAGCAAAGATCTTCTAGCAGCTTCTGTAAAGAAATTCCTAGAACATCCAATCTCCGTACACAAGGTCCAATGTGGGGCTTCAGGACAAATGTGTCAAAAGTGATTTTGCCCTGGTCTCATTTTACCAGCACAGCATAAAATCTTCATTCAAGTTGATTAAATCACTTAATGAAAGACAAAATTCACTGCTTATTATCAATATTTACTACAGTTTTGTCGTATAAACTGCAGTTCTGATAATGAAAATTACTGAGAGCACCCATTCTCATTAGTGTTAACAGATTCCGTCAACTAAATTTTACTCAGCCACTTCTGACTACCACTATGAACGACAAACAACTTCTAAGTACGTATTAATGATCATGCTAACAGCGAGACGCAGCTGTTAGTTCGGCTTGTCTAGATCAGAGACAATTAACTGACTTCAACTGACCACAGCACCATCTCATTCAAAGCAGTGGCTTAATTTCAGAGGATTACAGGTTCATAAAAGTTGACCTCCTGAGGGCTTTGGCAAGGATATTGTCAACATACCTGTTCAAATCCTTTCAGGCCCCCTGCGCTACCAATCCTGTTCAGTTCATCTATTAAGAGCTTCGTCAGATTCTTCTCCTGGTTCAAATCTAACAGAGGAACAGATGTCTTCTCCCTGGATTTCTCGGATTCGGTATGTTGTACTCCATCTGATGGCAGCTGTTGTGGGAATTGTCTTTCTATCTCTTGGAGATTGGGTACGACCACTCCAACTGCGTAGGGATAAAGCGCGTTTCCTTCCACATAGACATTTGTAACAAGAGGGCTGAGGGCGTAGATCTGCTCAACCTTCTCCGGGGCAACATATTCACCTTGAGAGAGTTTGAAGATATTTTTCACTCGGTCTACAATTTGTAGCGTTCCGCGCTGAACGATATAAAAGAAGCCATTATGAAAATAATATTTGTCAGTGCGTTAGTCTGTATTATCAGAAATATTTACGGAAAGTTTGTGACTTTATTGCTTTGTTTGATCTGACTTCACTGCCAGAAACTTTCACACGTCTACCTCAAATTGGTATGCGGCGATTCTCTTGGGTAGTACTAAGTAAAAACTTAAGCAAGGAACCCCAAAGTTGGCACGTCAAAATGCCTTGTCTACTTTATCCCGGGCGTCCAAGTCAATGGGGTAAACACATTTAAATACAAACAAGTCTGCTTCATGGTACTAACAAAGCCTTGGTTATTGCCCCATATAAATGAACTCTAATTCAGTCATTGAAGAGGTTCATGAAATTTACGGTCAGTATATCGGCCAGTGTCACGAAGTCATTCACTGTACCGTTTGAACGGGTTACCCGTGTACGAATGGACAGGACAACTATAGACCAGCTGCAGCGGTGGCTCCCAAAAACTTGATATCGTTACGGACTACGGAAAGATCAGACTGGCTCCATTTTTACATACATATCACATACATATTCTCGCTGGTTTAGCACACGAGGTTCAGGAGAGCAGAAAACTCCGTACACAGCCCAAGTTCATGCGGACTATACTCTCTAGGTTCTCAAGGTAACACATGCTCAGTACCACCTGTGCTTGTTTTCAAGTCAGGTCCCACGAAACTATCTTTATCCAGCTCCCTGGGATTTGCTACTCTACAAAGCAGCAATCTTTAACCGACATGTCTTGCTTTGTTATAGCTACACCTGTTGATGCTGCCGTGCATTAATCTCATGCTTATTATTCTGAACCTTACCAGGCTTAGCGTCTAGACAGCACTGTCAGCTTCCATATCCTCTGAATTTTAGGAAAAACGCATGCAGAAAGGGGTTTTTAATGTTGCCATTTGATAACCGTTTCTCAGTCACGTAGAATCTCAAGTTCAGGTGAAAAGAAAACAGTGGCTCTAGCACGGCTGGTAGCTGAGAAGGAAATTGTGTGCCATGTGTGCAGACCCATTTTATTCTCAAGCCAGGTGATTTGAAAATCCAGTTAAATGGTGAAGGGCACTGCTGGATCATCACAATTGAGGAATTCGATACTTTAGCCCAATAACGAATCAGTGCAAGAAAAGTGCATCTATTCGCGTCCAGGCGGGCACTGACTATATCTCCTGCAATGATAACGAAAGGTTACTCGTCATCTACCCAGCTCAGAGACCGGATCAACGGCCACCTAGTCGGCTATCGATTCACGAGTCAGCTTTTCCTCCACCGATGTATCACGAACCTCTAAAGCACTGATCGATTCGCGTAATCATGCGCTTGATGCCAGAGGGTAATAAGACAAAGCCAGTGTAGTAAATGAAAGCCGTCAGAAAGTCACAACGAATGTCAAGGGTGCGCTATGTAAACTTACATCCGTCCAACGTCCAATGTCTCCCATTCGCACATAACCGTCCTTATCGAACAAACCCCTTGTTTGTTCTTCATCTTTGAAGTAACCAGGAGTAACTGCGGGTGATTTGACGCAGATCTGAAGTGTAGGAGAATTTTTGAATGATTTGTCCGACAAAATGCAAACATCCTACAACATTTCCTCTGTAGTTGATTGTAAAGCAACCCAATGGGCATTCTCCATACTATAGCTTATCTGCTTATTGTGAACAAAGAGCGCAAAGTTTTCTCGAGAGACTTCCTGAAGTAGCCTAAATTTTAGATGGTTCATTCACAGTATTTTAAACCAGAAATTCTGAGAACTTCAGCCATCAAGGTATTCAACTGGTCAACTGACACTAGAAAATCAAATTACCAAGTCCGATTTGACATTGAACCACTCGGGTTTTCAGCTTGCATTTATTTTCAAAGCTATCATTCTATTCTTGTTGAATATCTTAATAAGACCCTGACTGCTATTGAGCCTTCACGAGGCAATGATGTCAGGGTTTACAGTGTTCAGCAGTCCGTTAAATTGGAGATACCGGTCATTAGAAAATATTTCGGCCGTGAACAAAGGAATACCCAAACTCTAAGCGTAACTTAAAAAGGTGGTAAACTTTATCCAACTGCTAGCATTGGGCATTATACTCTTCCCAGCAGTTACGAAGCTCATGAAAAACCTAATGATAATTATGACTCAGTCAATAAACCGTCGCTAATTTTGCCCCTAGTTTGCGCAGCTCAGCAGTGAACTGATCAGAAACCAATTGTGTCAAAAATATTGTGGCCAAATACTGTCGCTTACCTGCGTCAAACGCTCAACGGAGAAAATGCTGTAATTCATTCTGATTGGCATGTCCTGATCTTTCCAAAAATCAATATGGCAGACGCAGATAGCTCTAACTTGATGAAGTCAATCCATAACTTTGCCAATGTACAGACTCTTCTGTAGTCCCGAAGACATTACGCGCCATTTCCAACATCCATTGACAGACGAAATCAATGGTAGTGTCCCGAGTGCAGAAAAACTAATATGTATCGGCGGGCTTAAAAAATTCTGCAATAATTTTCTCGAGTGGTTTAAGGTACATAATTTACTGATCCCAGGCAGTACTAATATGCATAAACGGGGATCTTTGACAAAATGCCCTCGCGACTCGTTAGTCAAAACAAGAATGATGGTGCTGACAGACCACTGACCTCATCCTGGATGGCTGTTCATGATATTCCTAACTGACAGCGGTTCTTTTCTACGACTGTTACACGCGCGCATCATTGTCATCATAACCTCACGCCCAAAGGCCTAGTCCCCAGAAAGCTCTCTACAACAGATCTAGGATAAGTGATTTGCTTGTTCATCGTGGTTACACAAGCTTCATTTACACGCAAACCACTACAGGGGTCACTCGCTCAGTTGGCCGTATTTGTTTGTCTTCTTGACATATGTCAACCACATTTTATTGCGATCGATTTCGCCATGCACAATTGTACTAAATTTTCAGGCAAGTCAGCTGATCTAACATAATCAAGGCAACATGTAGGCGTGAGATCGTACTGACTCTGTTGAATGTCTCGGTTCAGCTAGTCAAAATGCTGCTCCCTGACGTAGTTATGATGCCTGCCTCCTCAACAAATGGTACACACAAATGCTTTTAAAAACATCCAGCAAAAGTGGTTGTTGAATGAGGGATCAATCCTGAGGAGGGCTGATCACCTACTTAACTAAATAGGTGAATTTTAAGAATTTTGTACCTATATAGTGGCCTTAGCTGCACAATCGAATATCGGTTGGCATTCTTATACTCAGTTAATTTTTTTTGTGTGAGCCGACTGATGTGTGGTACGGGAAAAGACGGATCATGATTTAACTATGTAAAAGAATCGTGACAGTAACTTAAATGGGGGGAATTCCCCCACTTAGATAACCACACAAAAACTCTTGTCATTTGATTCATACCGAAATTCAGTGGGCCTCTTCACATTGCAGCTGCGTATATCTCTCTAGATTAGTTACGCACTAATCTCTTCTCAGATTGTCAACCTTCTGTGGGAACATCCTGCCACTATTCAGCTTGTGGTTATTTCAGTCAGCATGGTTAAACTTCACTCAGACAACGTTTTTCGAAGTTTGGTTACAATCGGTAGACTTATTGCTGGGCAACCTTTCGCTTTTGAATAGAATCGAAGAAATGGAGCTAGCGAGCGTATGGAAAGCGGTCTTAGATAAGCCGAGTTGACACGTGACGGTGTGGTTGTGAATCCACGTAGGATCATTAGAAAAAACCGGAGGTAGGGGTGGAAACCCCAACCTACCAAAGGTCACAGCATCCCTCTTACACAACTTTCTTAGCACTAGCTCACCCACACAGACTGACAGAAGGTTCAAACGAAGTTCAAGAGGAACCATCAAATGAATTGAACCAGAAGAACTAGACCCTAGGTTGGACCCAAACACATGTAGGTTTCCCCACCGAACTAACACTTGTTCAACCACTCTAACACACTAAAAATCCCTCGGCCGACACCCAACAGAGATTGGTTCTCCTTCCGCCTTAAGTCTCGACCAACCTCCGAACCTAGTCACTTGGCCTGACGAAGCTTTTGTGTCAAAAGCGAAACGTTGCCCAGAAATAACTCTACCGATTGTCACCAAACGTTTTTTCGAAAAACGATGACTACCCAATCGGTTCAAAGTATTTTTCATATGATTTCACTCAGACAACTTAATTCGCCAAATTTTTCGAAATTTATGACTTTATTATTCAAAGACATTGTGTGTCTGCATACACGAGAACAGCTGACCACACTGCGTAACCACATTCCTTCATGAAACAAGGGACAACCGAATCACACGATAAACGCTGTTCATGAGTACAGTATAAACTGAGGGAGCTTGTAGCCTAGTCATCGGCTATATCAGAAGATGTGACAAGAATCAACCCATAAATTTAGGAGTTAACCGGAGAGTTAAGAACAATTTATTAGCTGGCCGGATGACGCATTTTATGGAGGTTGCAGTCTAAGATCCTTGACAGGCAGCACCCTCAAAAAGATTGGGATTTGATCAGATTTATAATTTAAGTAGTCGGTCGCATTCCAAGCTTTGGACTTGAAAGTTATCCATTCATCCGCGAAAGTGGATAGTCACATGGATAACACTTTCTGGCTATTCACCAGTGGTGGTGGTTTGAGGAGATTTATCAAGTTAAAATAGAGATTTCAACCTGTAAGTGAGATCAGTCTATGCTGAAAAACTGAGGACCCCTGCACAACTGTTTTATTTCTATCGTAGATCATCAGCAGTGTTTATCTCATGAAACTCAGAACAAATGACCACTAGTAAAAGGCGTAACAAACTGACAACAAGCAGGTGAAGAGCAGTGTGGTCAACTCTCACTTAGACAGGATACAGCACCGAAACCACAAACGTAATGGCATACTGACTGGCACTATTTCTACTACTGGCACTACTCATTTTCTGATATTGTTTTTCATCTAGGCTACTCGCAGATAGATGGTTTCCGTGAATGAGTAATGAGTACCGCTGTACCAGGTCTAAGTTTGAGTGAATCACACTGCTGATCAGTCACTTATGACAGAATGACCAACTATTCAAAAACCGGAAGGTCGTGGATTCGAAATCATCTGAGTTTCGTGAGATGTGCACCACGGATGATCCTCAGCTCTCCATTGCTTTTCAGCATATACTGGCTCCACTAACACCGAGAATTACCGAATCTCTTCACAGCAACATCAATCAGATTATCATCTCAACTAGTCACGGCGGATTTGACTAAAATTGTGTGGTTGCTTAAAAAACTTCGACCACATTCGGTTCATACTAGGGAGTCTAAAATTAAGTATTCTGATATGATAAATTTGGCCACAAATTTCGGCGTACCTGTGACTGGTTTGATCTGTAATGTCCCTCTTTCCACATCATCGTGCTCAATAAACTCCGTCACAGTAAAGGAGAATCATATTGGCCTGGAGACGAGGCAACCTCCTGGCACTACTTAACCCTTGGCGAGGTCGACTGATCCAGATCGAACAAGTCCTATGCGGATATCATCCCCCATTTGTAAGGTACAGGCAGTTTTTGACGATGAAGTTTGGGGCGGAAATTTTCCATGAGTACAACGACAAGCACAGTCACCCACTTACTGCAAAACAGTAACACTCACAGACTACCGCATATATTTCACCAGCTTGAGAACACGTGACAACGTTACCATTATCTTAGGCGGTAAATTTAAAGCTCATTGTGTGGCCACTGTCTGTGAAGAAGATCTTTATTCTACGGTTTTTAGTAATTACGCCACGGAATTTTCAGGGTAGCCGTCACTTGCTTATACATGTCCTCCAGGACGGATATCTGGAAAAATTACATCCGTACAATGATATCATTTTCCGTGTGTTTTGGTTAACTACCAACTTAGTTCATGAACATCGTTCTTGCTTGACCTTCCAGAGGGTCCGTTGATAGAGCATTGTTACTTTAAGAGCTTTTTAGAACGGCATGCATGAAAATATTTACCGGCATGAACAGCATTTAGGTAACCACTAACTATATGTACAGGATGTTGCTTAGAATTCAGTGCCAATCTCAATGGGTGTGCGATATCACTGAAAGCGGTTTGATTACATTTTGCACGCCACTTATTTCAATTCTTGTCGATGTCAGTCAACCATATAACGATGGAAAAAGCCCGATTCCGGACTTTTTCGGTGGGTGAACCACGATATTTGGTCTTGATCACAAAGTACACCCCTTAGGTTGCGTAAAATCCAGGTGCCCAAGGTGTACCTGACAGGAATCATTTGCAAAACATTCTGCTTCCGAAAATCCTCACTGGTAGGCATCTTAAAAGTTATTTAAACTTGTGGTTAAGTCATCACAAGACTATCACAACTTGGTCACACAAAAGACCAGTTTTGAACAATTCAGCCACAAATTTAGACGCTCATTTCGCCCTTGGAAAAAAATAATTCTTGCTCATTAAATGCTGTCCTTTTCAGCAATAATATGCTATAATATTCCTGTATAAATCTTGAAATACTCTTGAAAATAAATTTTGCGAATCTGCACCATATGTCTGTTAGCGGTCTTTTTTATTGTCTACTCTGCGGACTACAGAATGCTCCCCCAAAAGTTCCTTTAGCCAAAACGAGCATACATTTGTAAAACACAAGCTTCACCCACAGATACTATGTAATCAAGTATTTGGTTCTTTTGAAGACTGCACACGAGAAACGTTATAGATTTACCTCAAATCTATCAACCATTTATTTGCTTTTCACCCATTGGCTGCATATTTGCACACAGTTATTTTATTCCTGAAAGATCCGACCAAAATCGCATATAAATTTAACGTTAACTAAAGGATGTCCTTCATTATCTTGACTTGTCCAATCTTAATAGGGTTCAATATGACTGGTTTGCATTTCGGAACAGCAGCTTCTGTAGTTAACTTTACGATTTTTTCCATCCATTTATCAATTTAATTTAACGTCAGTAAGAACTGCCAAGTATCCGTTTCCAATGAAATCCAGTTGGCTTCTGGAAGCCTTACATCAAGATTAATGTCAGTGAGCTTAAACTGAATGATGTTCGAATGCGACAAATGTACCCAACTTTGGAATTTAATATACGGTGAAAAGTTGACTGGAAACTTTAATTCCATCTGAACGCAAATTTACCGACTATAATTATTACAACAGACAGTCATTTTATGACCTGAATTTCTAAGCCACAGAAGAGATATACTACTCAAATACCTTTAGGTAGGAACACATCAGAAAATATCAGACCAGTCAATCATCGCTGTCTCAATATCCCAGAGTTCTCTAATATTCGGGTCACTGGAGTGGTATTCGACCAAAATATCGTGCGGATTTCTGCCTAAGGTTACATCAAATTAAGGGATGCGATGATGGCTACTATCAGACAGGTTTCCAACGAACTAGACGCCATGCAACGCTCTAGCTGAGGATCAAGAGTTTCATGTCCTTGATAAATCCGGCGAAATACAATTCATTAAGGAAGGACAAGAATAATTCCTTGCTGCCGACAGTGCCAAAACTTCCTGGGATGTTTAGAAAGTTTGCAGCTTCTTTTTTCTTTGTAGGTACCTGAAGTAATACCACAACTGCATGGTGATCGGTAAGCATATATTCCGATCTATACCATTGGTACCTTTTTCCTATTGCTTGGTATCTCCTGATGCATTCTGGTCAGTGTCAGTGACATGGAAGATGTTGCGTTTTCGTCATCTGCCGTGTGACTAGCAAATACGAGTGGCAATGTATTTGATCCTCAGTTCCCTTCAAATTCCACGTGGCTATAATTTTATCTCACTCCGAATTTCTCACTTGGCTAAAGTGGCATGGTCTCGCATTCCTATGAAGATGCAGGGGTAAGCCTGAATATCTCTCTTATGTCCCCGCCATCCCTTAAAAATGAAAGTCACCATCACCATTCATAATAAAACCGGGTCAAGCTGGCTAAGCTACAGGTCGCAGCGACATTGTGAACATTGTCTTTTGAGACCCTTTAGTAGGTAACACTTGAAAGCTCGGTTAGAATACAGCGTTTTGTTCCCCACATCTTTTGGTGGTGCAATGGTGGCAATCAGGTGACTGTCAGGAGCACCTGCATCAATACACTACTTAAACACGCAGTAGTAACACAAATTACCAAGATTTTATAAAAAAAAACAGAAAAATCAGAAATTGACAGTCCTCACTAAATAGGCTGAAAGATCCCAAACGGAATATGGGAACCTATCGGTTACTGATATGTCCGATTACTTTACATGTTGGGGCACAAATAACAAAACTCTGTATTAGTGTACCGGTGGTACTACTGATGGGGAGGCATGCAAGTAATAGGTTTTCCCGTAAATCCGCTCTGCGTCTCTTGAAAAGTGAGATCGATTACGGAACTTTTGAAGTTGCTCTGTAGCATTTGCTTGCGTTTGAGCAACAGTCAATGAATATCCGGAAAATTTCAGGAAGACGCGTTCAAAGGGAGAATTAACATTCAGTTTTCGTGAACAAGATGCATATGAAAGTTTGCTTCCCTGTCCAATAGTCTATAACTGTTCAGTTGGTATTTTCTAATATAATAAACAACAGCAAAGGCCTTTTTCCTATCATGATTATTGAAAAAAATTAGAAGAGTTTAGACCAAATCCACTAAGCGGCCGGCATTCCATTATGAGTTTTAGTCACCTATCAGAACTGTGTCACTCACTTCTCCAACTGCATCACGACGGACGACAAAACCCATTGATGGGACGTCAATAAGTTTGATGTACACTTCCGGAGCAACTGAACCCGCATGGCCACCAGTAGTATCCAAAGGTAGTGACACGGTAGCCAGGCCGCCAACCTCTGTGGAACCGTAAGCCTCCACCAACTGTGTGCGAAAGCCAAGAAAATAGGTTGACCTAATGTTTATCGGCATCTAATTCCTGGTGCTATAAAGTAACAATGAGCAACTGCAGTAGAAAATAGTGCACGCAATTCATTGAAGTTTAAACTAAAACAGCGATTACGGTTGGTAGATGGATACTCACAGGACAAGCGAAAATGGCTCTTGCGAGACGAAGTACTTCGGGTTGGAGTGGGGCACTACCACAAACTAGTCCACGTACACGGCCTCCAAAGCGGTTGCGAATGCCACGAAAGAATAAGTAGTCCAACAGACCATCCCGACGAAAAACTCCTCTGGAAAACCACATGAAAAATTTTGATGCAATATGCAATGCAAGCAAGGTGTTTTTGCTCAATGTCGTTTTCAAATGGCAAGATTATGCTTAGAAATGGACACATTAGTTATCCAATTCCTATACAGTGTCTCATGACAAGTACCACTGATTTTGTTCCAAATTTCGAGTATACTTTTTTATGAATCTGCGAATCCTCAGATTTTGCCACGCAAAACCCTGTTTAAGTGAACAAAATGCTAGACGATAAAGTAATATAAGATGGCTTTAGAACGCCAGTTGCATTAAACCCAGCAAATGGTTGTGCTCCATATTCGTCAAGCTCAGCCAAGGAATATCGCGCATGCACACTGGAAAGATTGATAGAAAGCTAGTTACGAAGACATAATTCTCTGCTGCATCCAGGCGAATTTCTTGTTTTTCATGGTTTCCGTGACGTTATTTCGTATACATATCACATATGCCAGTGAGTTAAAAGCAAGCACAAAACTGCAAAATAACGGCTTATGAAGACGCACCTTAGAAACCTCAAAGAATAACATGGAAAATCGACAAGACACATATGGTCCTCATGTAGCAAGACGTGTAACTTGCATTTATTACACGATTTCTGACTAGGTGCTGCTAATAAATGATTTATGCACATTATAAATAGCCCTAAGGGAGTGGAAAGCGTATCTAGAAGATAAGCTAACCACAGTCACGTCCACACAGATGATTGACGCCTGTAAAAAACCAACCTGCTCTGTTCTGCAGTCTTCACACCGACAGCCAGTTGGAAAAGTTGTGCTTTTATCTTATTCGTGTTGACCACACGCATCACCTCCGTGTATAACCGAGATAATACACGCGGAACCGTGCAGATCAATGTTGGACGGTAATACGCGTAATCCTCCATGAGTCCTGACGTGTCGTTTGTCAGAAAAGCGATCCGGGCACCAAGCCTGAGACAAATACTCTGCCGGAACAAATGAAGAATAACCTGATAAGCTTGTGAACCAGGTTCATTTAACTACTCAAACTGATAGTGAGGTAACTGTGGCGATTTCCTTAAAAAAAACTCCCAGTTAAACGGAGCGATCGGTTTACTGTTCCACAGTGAGTTTCGTCCTGTGGATTATGTGGTCACCTTTACCGTCAGGCTAAAATTAAGTTCCAGAACTCAAACCTATATAAACGTCTTGGGTTTACTGTATTTGTGTTACTAACAAATTGCATTTGTTCACCCGGTTCTGCATTTACAAGGAGCTCTTTCAGTAGTGACAAATATTAGTGATTAGAAGGATAGGTATACTTGTACACCTAATGATTCCACTCAGAATTTGCCCATTTCCAGGAAGTTACACTCATTTGGTTGGTAAGCAGGGTATCTGTATTCGTATCCCGAAATAAAGATGTTACCTCTTTCGGTCTGACAAAGAAACAATCAAGTTAGATCGCCATTTAGAAGGTTACTTGTTTCGTGCAACTCTGGAAAATTAGAATCTCACCATAAAGATTTGCTCCATGATGTGTGCCATTGGTAGAAAAGACACATGCGCGTGACAATCCGTAGATATTTCCTGTAAAAAAAAAAAAAATATAAATATTTTGAGCTAGTGTGAGACTAATCCACTATCGGTCAACTAATAATCAACCATTTCATACACAGTTAGTCTATTCCTGCCCAGTTTTCCACACTCCTTCCATAAGGGCGGAATCTTTATAGTTCCGCGGATTGTCAGTAGCCCGAATCGGTTCATTTGTCGTTGATCCGTTCGCTGGACATGACTAGTGTTGTGCCACTATCCGTGTGCTTTTGATTAGTTGTATCCTAGCGTCATGCCAGCCAGTCAATGAGTTCGATGATATTGGATACTGTTGGGCGTACATTGCAACTCTAATCAGGAGAGGGGCTTGAAAAAAGGGCACATCGATACTGTTTACTTTACGACACATTTGATCCGGGGGTTTACGGAGAACCTTTCCTTAGTCTTTGACTCAGAAATCTGGTGCTGTATGAAGCTTTCCTGAAAAATCATTCTTGAAGCCAACGATTCAACAGTGCGACCCACCAGACTGCAGTGAAGTGAGACGGCCCGAGGAAACAGGGTGCCAGGCACAACTGCCTTACTCCTATTGTGGCTGTACACAGCAAGCGCCTCTTGAATCGCACCGAAGTCTTCGGTTTTTGAAGTATTCCGACTGTCTTGAATAATGTTATGGTCAACCACTTGGTGACTGGAACGTGTGGATTTAGGGGTGAGCTTTTCAAAACCGTCCTTCCTCAGTGGAAGGCAATATCGATTCTTCTATATGTGAACTGCTTATCACTTTAAGGAAACGCTTTTCTGCTTTCACCTTCCTATCGAATGGAACATTACAATTTTACCTCCAAATTTCTTGGCAATACGATCTCCTACGGAGAATTAGCTCTTACGCTAGTTCATCAAGCGCTTAGATTCTCAGGTGCCTATCGGTTCAGTCAATGTATCCATGTCCATAAATGTGGCCTAATGGATAAAAGCAGTTATACATTGCAAGTAAGATAAACAAAGCTGTTGGATGGGTTCTGAATGCTTTTCTTTTTTCAACAAAAATTAAATTGCTACAGTTTACTAGCAAACGACAGCCCAGTTCCGTTAAGCAGTGGCAGTAAATATACCTGCCTCTTTTATCAGCCTACATCCTGGATGGCTGGAATAAAACACCTATCGTTTAGTTGAAAGTTTGTGGGATAGTGTGCTTCAAGTACATCTGACATTTTTATGAATCGCTGGTCTTATCCTGTGGCTCTTTTTCTATACATTGGCTTCCAGTGTTTGGGCCCCTCCTGATCAGCAAGTCCGTTTTTGATTCCAACTGTTCTTGCAGTTCCACACTGGTGCCACAGTTTAGGTGCACCTAGTCGAAATTCAAAGTGCAGGCTGTTTCGACCTTCTACTTGCTTACTTATTTTCGGACCGCTTTCATCACTCCTTTCCTTTCTCTGTTCTGATTAACTAAATCGTCGTTCATGAAGACTCAATGTCCTTAAAACTTCCGTTTAACTATTCGATTAGTTCACAAGATCAAACACTAGTTAAAATTTCATCCACCTGGCAACCTGCTCCCGTAGTTATTCAGGCCCATATTGTTGAGACCGAGTGAAAGCTGGATATATCTGCTGCGCATTAAAGCAAGCTGGTCAAAGCTGATCAAGTTATATTCATCGTCTCCGAGTGAATTTTTGCTTGCTCAAAGCCATTCTTTCCATTTCACTCACTAGGACTTAAGATGAAATATATGGTGATGCATAGGATTTTGTTGTGCAGTGCTCTCTCAACTTATTCGGACGATTCCAGGAAGCGTTATTTCTTTCCAGCAGAAACTTCAGATACCCTCAAGGTCCTTTGGTCATATTTCGATCTAGCCGCCGTCTTACTGCTATCGATGCAGCATTTATATGTACTCCCCGAGTAACCAACTTCTGAAGCAAATGAACAGACTTACCATTAAGGCTAGTGAACGGTAGGCAATGGACATTCCTTGCAGAAACGTACTATGTGTGTACGTAACACCTTTGGGCAGGCCTGTAATATAGAAAAAAATGGAGGCGATTTTAAATCACAAAAGCTACGGGACATGAACACACAAACATTCTGCTATTCCATGAAAGGCGTTGCTGTATCACGGATTAACCATATCGAATCCAAAATTATGTTCCACGCTGCAGCATTGAATATGTCATCCAGCGGGTCAATAATGCCGCTTTGAAATGGGCTGGCTGGACAAAAGAATACTACCATCTAAAACGGAAATATGCAAAAGACTGATATATAAAAAATTTCAACAAATTACTGCCATCCTCGTTGTTCTTGCTCTCATCAGTTAGATTAAATTGTTTGAATTCCAAATAATCTTATTTGAGTAAATTAATGTGAGGACAATCATTCACTGGTACCTCAAAATGGCACCAATGAGGAATTTTAAATTCTTCAGCCGGATGTTTCTCAAAATGGCGTCTTTTTTAATTTGATCCGGATTTTAGTATATCGGTGTATTCACATGCAACCATTCACAAAATTATTGAGAGGCAGAGTTCCCTACTTAAGCGTCAAACAAACATGAATGATTCTAAGCAAATTAAGAAACTTTTGGCATGAAATTTAGATGAACCGCTTGTGTGCAAAGAATTTAAAAAGCTGATTGTTAGACCTGGAAAAGTGTTGTTGAGCATTTCTCTAATGGAAGTGCGGGACACCTTTTTCGCCGTACGCTTGGCAGGACAAACTGATGAGTGGAAGGGTGATTGAAAGATTATTTTACAGTGTCATAATTTGCTCCGGGAAATCCAAATCAACTTATTTACTAGAACCTCACACAAGGTTTCATCCTTACAGAATAGCAGAGCGCAGATATCATTACACAAAAAGACCACAATAGGAATAAAGCCATTTTATTCGAGTGGCGATTTATCGATTCTTTGAAAATACAGATAGAATACAATAGCCGGAATAGCGTGCTTAACCTGGGTAGTTATATCTAGTAAGTGACCATGGGCGATCTGAGCATGTCACTAAAGTTTAAAACACTTTGAAATGGCCTGATGGCAGAAAAGTTGACTGTGTGGATATCACGCTTCTTCTGAGAATCCTTGATCACCTTTAAACTGCTCACTAATAACCATAAATTTTATAAATTTCAGTCTCCCAGTTAGCAGCTCCAGACCTCGAAGCCATTGTACAGATAAGCGTAAAAATGTTCTTTGATCTAATCCTAGTTAGAGTTAAGATCTTGCATATGTTTGAGCCAATGTATTGACCACTTAGAGAATGTTATTTGAGGCCCACTTTCGAGCACTTACAGCTAAGCTCGGTTGCTTTGGGATATCGTGCTCCAATCAGTCTGAACGGAATCTTATGGATACGTTCACTGGTGGTTGCACTTAAATGAAACTAGCAGCGCTGGCTGACTTCATCAAGAATACACTACACGTCCTCACACGTACATAACTGATCTTCTACCACGTCTGTAATCCGAACTTTTTTAAGTGACGTTTTGGTCCTGTTTCGATTTATGCGGATTAGTCCCATAAAATTTGTAGCTTATTCTCAGGCTGTAAGGACGCATTGGCTCACGCCATAGAGTGAAAAAATTTACTGATACACGTTTGTGTAGCTGATGAATGATTCTTGTATGAAGGGTTAAAAGGCCTCTAGTGATTCTGCGTTACAAATTCATGCTATTACTTACAGGTAAAAGGAACGACGATTGTAGTAACTATTTCGGTACTCCTAACTTACCGGTACTTCCACTCGTGTAGCAAACCAGGAACAAGTCATTTGGGTTAGGTTCCTAAAAACAAAGGAAAACTTCTGTTTTTATTCATTAGGGGGTGTTGTTTGAGTGAAGTAAGCGACCATTTTGTAAGTAAGACCATTTTGTCCTTCGTGAAAATCATTACATACCCTTATTAGCAGGACTTCCTAGCCAAATTTATCAGAAAGGAAGCCTTCTACCAATCGTCAATTGGGGAGCCAGCAAAGGGCTAGGATATTATGTGTGCTGACTTGGTGAGCCTAACGGCCTATTACTGCTCATTTCCCTATCCAAATGGACGAATACAGTCTTAGATCACTGACGAATTACCTCGAGAGTGAAACTGGTATATTGTATTTCTTGAGATTCCACCACAAATGAACTATATTGCCCGCATGAAAATACCAGGGAAATTTCAAAACCACCTTACTTTTCACCAAAACAGTCACAGCATTTACTTCATAAACTAAACTTTCAGTCCTCTATTCAAAAGCTACGTGAGTACGAAGATAACTTTCCATATCCAAGAACTTCTGACGAAGTAGATGCTAAGGCAGTCATGCAATCAACTCAAAATATTTGGCCACGTGCTAAAAATCTTACTTACAAAACAAAGCTTGTTCTTCTCGCCTGATTCTCTTGGCTAGTACATCGGAAGTTTGTATGACAATGGATGTCCCGAGGGTTGGAAGTAAAAAAGGAGAGAATATGTGGAAGGTCAGGAGAAATTTCTGGTCATCATTGATAGATAATGATTGGATCGAATACTTCATGAGGTTTCCTGATCACTTTGCCAATGTGCACTACCATGGTTTGCTTGCCACTTCTAAATACTGACTTTCGATTAAAAAGAAATCCAAGTAACCGCTTCCTATCTCATGGTAACTTAAACCTAACCACAGTTGACTAAAATGTTGTAGTCTAAGTTATCTGGTTGTTTTCATGATCTCTATGAGATCATGCAGTGATTTGAACACTCCGTAAAACCAGTGTGAACAAAGCACATATTAAATACAAACCAACTTGAGCTATGAGCATATATTCGACTTACCTTGACTTCCTGATTGTAATTCTCACCTTGAAGCTACAAAGTACGTGTAGCAAATTAAAAACGACGAGAAGGGAAAAGAAACTACAAAAACATGTTTTCTGGCTCGCCTATGAAACAAAATCGCGCTTCACGGGCGTTAATTGTTTTATAACCAGTTATGGGATTTGGATTCCATTGTCCACCAACCGTTGCACATTTTCAGTAAGCAAAGCATCTACATAAAATTAAATTGCAAACACTTTAGATAGTTCGATTATCACTTTTCCGAATGGACTATTTTTGTAAGTGCTCCTTGCTGCTGTTCACCCCCACGAGCAGCCAGAAGCGGCAAAAACTTTTGGTGAATCAGTTCCACCGCGGCTTCACGTAAATGACTGAGGATGTTACCCCAACTGGACGTGTCACTATCCACTCGGTTGTGATGGCCTTTACCATGAGTAAATAAGAGCTTGTGGTTGCGGGCGATCATGAGAGAGGGGCAGATTTGAAGTTAAAGAACAACGTCAAAACAAATGAGAAAAATATGAAGCGATGAATTTCAGTCAAAATTATTTCCTAAATAACCACGACAAACACCCTGCTCTTTTTCGCAGAGGAATCCCTCTTTTATTGTGATTTAAACAATGGCAACGCCATCCCATTTAATGCGAACAAACAGTTTAGCTCTGCTCAAATCCTCTCATATACAGAGTCTAAACTTTCCAACTGAAGGCCATTTCGCGTTTATTTTCTGGGTTGGTCGAACCAGCTTTGACAAGTGTGATATCTGCAAAGCTGGTTTCTATGGGCACGTTGTCTTCCACATTTAAAACCCCATCCTCGTCAAATGACCATTAAAATAATGACAGAGTTGGCGGTCGTAATAGCCGAATCTTTCTGTGGAAGAATATTCCCATTTTGAGAGTGGGAAAAGTAAACAGAGAGATAATGCTCGTGCTTAGGGTAGACTGCAGTAATACTGTACAGAGCTATGAAAGCGTTTTATATGTGGTATATGCATGATAGACATGATAGACATGCATGAAAGACAGTGTTTACGATGTTAAAGTTTCTGGTTACCACTTTCATTGTGCATGTAATTTTCCTGTAGCATTCAGAACTTTGAATTTAAATGTCGACGTCTTCGTAGAAGTCTTGTCCACGGGCTTGTATTCCCTTTGAAACTTCACAGCGTTTGAATTTGACCACTTTGACATGTATTTCTCGGCCTTTCTTGATATATGTGACACGAAGGCGTGTAAAAAATTCATAATAGTTTTCACGAGGGCAAATCACATTATTCCAGTAGAGGGTCTTATGTCTTCATGTCACCTCAGTTAATTACAACGTTCACATATCGTAGATGTCACTTTCTCGGTACGTTCCCAAATGCAGTCCAATTCGATCTACTCTCAATGGTAAAAGTTATTAAAAGCCGATTGTGTTACCCGCGACTCTGAGATCGTGCAAATTAGTAGCAAGAAAGCAATAGTTGTTTACCACTTGAGTTCGTGTGAGTATTTCGCGTTTTCTCCACGCAGTGATCTTACTCCACTGATAATCTTTGAATACGCAAAGTAAACACAGACTTTCTAACACCGGATATTTTTATTTGGTAACTTAGAAGCTGATTGCGGACTGGTGCTTGGTGCATAGCGTATTGCAAAGTAAAAACCACGCCCATGTTGGAAACGGTTTATGCTAAAAGAATTGTTTGCTTCGGGAGAAAAAGCAGTATGCCCACCAAATAAACAAAACGGGAACTCTGGCAGTGAATTGTTGTCTTTTCTTACTTAGATAATAAAAGCCTGCGAAAATACCATCTTAATTTTGGTAAACTCTAGAGATCTGACCTAGTCTCTTGAACAGCTACGAATGAGAATCTTCGAGATAAATCAAAGAAAACCATAAGAAACCTTGTAGAACGTTTTCTTGAGATAATAACTCTACCTTACATATAACTGATCCTTAAGACTTCACAGAAAACAAATTTGTGCACCACTGGATTTTCTGCTGGGCCTCAGTGATGACGCATGCATTCAACATTCATCAAGGCTAAGTTGCATAGATTTTAGGCCTTGAGTTCTGCTTCGTAGAAGTCCGAATCGGTAATGCACAATGCAGATCCACTGGGATTTTTAATTAGCGTAGCATAAACAGTGCGGAAAATTTTATGAACTGTTTCCTTGCCTTGGCTGTTTCGTTGAAAGATTTGCTGGAGGAACGAATGGATTAAGACATGGAATTTGAAGAGTGAAGTGTAGAAATCGTATACCAGTTTTCCAAACCTTAATAACTGCAATTTGTAATCGGAATTTATAAAGCAGTCAATGAGTAACGGCAAATGTAAGTTCATAAACACCCTTAAGACGGGTTGATATGATACCAAAATGTGCACAACTCCGAGGGTAGCTGGGAGTCAACAACATTCACTCCTAGTCAGTGCGGCTTACGTACTTATCTAGCCTTCTGTGTGAGGAATTATGATCAGTATCAAGCTAGCTGTCAAAATGATAAATTTTGTGATCCCAGATGCTGGAAGACTTAGTATATCCATTTCGTCTCTAAAAATCATCGCGGGATAAAGTGTCATTCGAAAACCTCCAGCCGACCTTTCCTATATAAAAAGACCCCAATCACCTTCGTCAAGTGTTGCATAGACCGCAACTGCCATCCATGTTTGGACAAAAAACTTGGTTTTCGTTGTGCAACTTACAATCACTTCGTGGAAGCTGTGAATCTCAATCGAAGCAGTGAATTTTGTCTCCAGTTTCTTGCGGTCATTGTCGTCCATTTTGATGATAATTAGGCACTGAATATGGTGATTTGCCCAGTCCAACAATGATTCAGCTCGTTCCACTGTGTCACAAACAACTGTCCGCAGTTTTGCTATTATTGGAACAAGAAAACGTACGTGACTAGGGATATTCATGTATTATCCTAAATTATCTTTTTGCAACACAAGTAATAGCTCAAATTTGCAACCTATGTGTTCATATTGTGTCTACTATCTTGTACACAAGGCATCCACGTTGTAGCCTGCTGGTTCTTATACATCCTTTTGAAGTAGATTTGTCTTTTTTAAAATTGTATACGGGATGGTGGCCTTGTTAAACAAACACCATAGCGCTTATGGCGCTAAACAATATTTCATAATTGGAATATCGTATGCAGTTTCTCTCTGAGACAGTAGCTACTAGGCTTAGTTGAGCATTTTGAGTGAAAGCTTTCAAAATAGTTATCACTAAGTAGGCGCAAGGAAACACGTTAAGGAGTACATCCTGTGTGACCGTCGACATACTTGAAACATTACCATATATTTCGAGACAATTATTGTCAAAGACTCCATACAAGGAAGAAGTGCAGATTACTCATCAAGTTCTTAGCAAAGTCCAGTTTTCGTCGAGTGGCTACCTGAAGTTTAAGAACTTAAATTTGCTTTTAAACCTTAAGGTTTTCGTTACTGCTTCATTTGGGTAATCTTAACCACATTGTGGGCATAAATAATACCGACAGAAACTGAGAATGTGAAAACCGGGTAAGAAGGTACCAAAAATACAAATGACGTGCACATGGGTATAGTATCGAAAATTATTTATCATCAACTTCTCATGGGGAAATTGGGAAAATACTAATCATAAATGGACGTGGAACGTTAGAACGGTGTTCTCTGCATCGTTAAACGGAAAGTTCTTTCTGCTCAAGAGCCATTAGGATAGAGAAGCGATTCTTTTCGGCTTTGTTGCAGCGCTCGTAATAGATGCAGCCACACTACTGTCAAGGTGAGAGGCTCAGCACTTTATAAACTATGCCAAGCAGTGAATACAAATGTACACTAAAGTCACAACTACTAGACTCTCATAAGAACGAGGAGGACTGAAATCTGATGCCAAATTCCTTCACAAGCATCGTGTCAAACTGATTTATACTTCTTCCTATTCATCTTTGGTCATAGAGTTACTCTAAGGGGATTTGGTGAATTCAGTGCGGACTGTGATTAGATAAGTTGGACCTTTACTTAGACAGAATAAAACAGCACTCATCTTTCATTCACCAAATTCACCCCACGTGATCACATGCATAAAGAACCCTCAAGTAACACCTCTCCTCTGGAAGGTTTATCCTTCGTGTAAGTTTTTCTTCTGATAGCGGGCAAGATCAGATGACTTGAAGTGCATTTTTTATTGTATCAAAAGGACGGGCAATATTGCTACAAATGAAAAGAGAGAGGACTTTGCAACGGAAGATTTTTTGATGCCTAAAGGTAAGCGGCCTTGAGTGGAGCTGTTAGGTAACACTGAGGAAGTTACCGAAACACGCATATTCCTAAACGTACATCTAAAACATGGCCAGTCAAATTGACATCAAAATATTTTGAGGGGCAAACTCCGCAGTTATTTAAGAAGTCAAGTATTAATTCTTAGGCCTACAGCTAATTCTTCTAGTTATCACTGACTGTGAGCTATACCTCTGATTACTCGTTTCCTGTCTCATTAGGTGGGTTGCAGAAAAGTTCCTTCTCAAGTTTGATACTTAGAAATGTTTCGAGAGCTTATCGGAAGTGCATTATTTCTGTTAGTTTCCCGTCAATCAAAGTGCACTCAACTGTTATGAACCATTACCAAAAATCTAGAGAGATTAGTCTGTGAGAGTGCAGGTAGGAAGCAAATTTATACTCAACGAACTAAAACCCAGATGCTGATGAAGATGATCTAGTGGATGTCAAGTTTGACTGCTAAAATGAGTTTAATTGTATGCAGCCGTCTGTGACAATATATTATGTTTACTGTCCCAAACATCACTCTGGAAGCTAGTGTAGTAGTGTAGCCATTAGATTGCTGGGTGGACAGTTAACGCTTCCGTTTTGCAATAACAAAGCACACCCTATATAATGTGCCACTGCTAACTAGAATCTTAACGAGGAGAACACATTATTATTAAAAGGCCACGGTGGTCCGATGGTCTGAATTTGCTAGCTGAGAAGTTGAATTTGAAGCGCTGTTTTGCAAAACCTAAGAGGTTGTTTCTGTCATTTTACTTCCACGCCCGTTCGTTTAGTTCGACTTATGGGAAACAATAAAATTTAAGATTTTCAAGCATGTGGCCGTCCTGGTTAAAACTCACTGGTTTGTTCGCAACAAAACAGAAGCAATAGAGCCCACTTCCGCGTCATCTAAGATTATGTAATTTGCGTACCACTAATCATACTCGGAACTTTAACTTCAGCATGAGACATGTAGCGTAGAGAACGCTCGCAGAGTGCCCTTTTCCTCCAAGCCGCTGTCAACGGACCTGGAACCATTCGAGTGTTTTTAATCACTAGTTTATTATTTGTAAGCCACATAGTAACATGATTTACACGACAAGTGCTATTGGTAACGTGAAGAATTTTTTGGATTTTCGATAGAGATTTCATCGTACAAGTAGGATCAAATTGTGCTGAAGAGCCAAAAATTAGTTTATAGCTGTTTTACTGTTGTCAGAAATCATAAACACTAGACATCTGTCTAATTTCCAGCCATATTCTAGCTGTTAACTTAATGGTCAGTAGTAAATGAACAGAGCGTTTGACCACGATCGGTTGATCCCTTATGTGATCAACTCGCACTTAGGATACAGCACTATTCATCTTTCAAATCACCCGGTCACAGGCTGGCCGGCTTCTAGAGTTTCGGCTCCTCGGATGAAAGTCAATTACTCCTTCTTCTGGGCTGATAATAATTTGTTGAATACGTAAGGGGACCTAAGTGTTTTTGATAAGGACACCGTCCTGTACAGTAGGTCGGTCTATGCAGAACGGCTGTACCATACTCATTCGAAATAGCCAACAAAGTACATCTCTGGAAACTCCCATGAAATTTAAAGCCGAGATTTGAGGATTAGTAGTTTGAACACCGAACCGTCAGCCAACAAGCCGCTGGTAAACAGTTGGAACAACGCTCATTTGCGATACAGTGTCACCCATTCTTCGATCACGGAGCCCACATCATCTGGTCACATGTCGCTTCTAGGTATTCAAGTATAGATTGGCTTCACTTACCACAAAAAATGTATGCTGGAATTCGCTTTTTCGCTAAAACTAGATCCACATTACTTCTGATCATCTTCTACTTATTAAGGTCCTTAAAGCAAGGAATACTATGGCCAGGCAGCCACTATGCAAGCCGGCTTTCTATGATATTTGACTTATCCAACTGGAAGTTAAAATTGATAGAAAAAACGCGCTTCCTTCCCGTTTTTATCTATCATTGTGTAACTTATGCAGTCGCCACTTTGTTTGCTGTGTAGTGATTGGGATAACTACGATTTGAAACATTCATTCAACAATGTGAGCTCACTCTGCTTCAGTATATGTTCCAGTGCTTCTCTTCCCAGGGTGTCGTACAGCGGTACGCTCACCATTCCATAGTATCCACAGGCAAGTTGTGCAGTGACCCACTGAAACAGAATAGGTGTAATTTGTAGGTCCGCATAGAATTCAATGTAAAAGAAATGAGAAAATCTCATTTGCAAATCAATATGGTTTTCACAGGGGACTCAAGTGAGTCTCTCGTTTATGATGTTCAAGTGGATGTGCTGCACACAGGCCGCCTCATGTTTCAGTCGGTACGGTTAACCTTACAAAGGTGAGTGTTCTTAATAGGGCCCGTTGTTAAGCATCAGCTGGATATTACTGTCTAGTAGGCATATCCCATTGCAGACATTTCAGTTCAATTAAACTCTTTTCCATGAGGTACTCAGTTCATCTTGCTTCGTTGAGGAGTACCGCATATGCTTACAGCTTTTATCCCTACGCTTCAGGGAAATATGAGCAGTCACGTTGCGTTCACCAAGCATGTGTGTATATTCATCTTCTCGACAGTGAAGAATACGTTTATGGTGTTTGGTCCATCCACATTTCACCTAGTTCGGAAGTTGAGTGGTGAATCAGCTGACCCTCGCAAAATGGTACAGTATCTGACCACAGTTGAAGGATCGCTATCGGGAATCGCGTACGTCAGCAGTCCTCAAAAAACTATAAAACAACTTTATATTGCTTTTAAACTTCCCAGCGTAGACTGATTAGCTTGCTGAGAAAATCCGGATTTGATTTTTCAAGATATTAGAAAGGCTTACAAGGTTCAGTCAACGATAACCTTGCTGCCCTTCACCTGAATGCGTGACCATTCCAAAAGGCTGCGGGTTCAGAAACATACCCGCATGCGTAGACTGTGCACGGTCGTCTCCATTAAAAATCAAACATGTTGCAGGCTGTTGACTACAGCGTTATTCCGATTTACATGGCGAAATACAGGGTTAAAATGTCAAAATGTTTCTTTTACGCAAAAATAAATGCCATATAGAAAACGCACGTGGTGGGTTTATAAGACTTGGGTATTTGACCCACATTAGCTCCAGTTAAAGCAAAGCACATCTGACAGCTGAAGTTTGTTGGCCGAAGGGGATCTAATTGCCACGGCAGGGCCAAAACTATCAAGTAGGAGTGAAACGTCCATGAAATATCATTTTGACTCCAAGCAGGTGACAGCTTCATGATTTACTTTGTATTGTCTGCTGATATAATAGGCGCCGGATATCATTAAACCCAAGCACGGATTCTTTGCACGTTAAGTGGTCTAATTATTGAGAACACAATCCAATATGTAGGTCGCTGGCGATTAGTTTACTTGATCAGTTGAACTAGAAGTGTCTTTTGTATAGGAGGTGGATACTTTTACAGACCGGCAGTAGCTACTGAAACATCCACTTCCGTGCAGTAAATTAAGCAGGGAATGACCTGTCAACTGGTGCTATTCAGTAGTGATAAAAACGTTCTTAACAATGATGCTTTAGGAGCATCCTACAACAGAGGAAAGTGAAACACGGCAAAGTCGAACACGCAACAAATACCCCGACCAAACTGACCTCAGGTGAGTTTCTGCCATATAACCCAATGCATCGGTCACTCGCAGGTTCAAGCATGGAAAATACTGCAGCACCAAATGCGATAGCGTTCTTGCGCGTCTACAAGTGTTTTTATAGTGTTTAGAAAATAAGTATGCAGTACCTGATCATATGTGTTCCAAACGGCGGCAGAGTTGACGTCTTTCCTGCGACCAAAGCAAAGCTGGTTGCCTGAATAAAAAGCGGTTTATACAAGCATTCATTAAATATCAAGCAGCTTCAGGAAGTATATAAGCTATTTGATCTTAAAGATAGTATTGTGGAGCCATTGCGCTGGTCATACGCCAAACAATCTTAAAGTAGTAACGATAGCTTCAGGCATTTGGGAGTAGTATGAACACATGGCAATTACGACCACATCGATGCTAAATAATGCAAGACTTCCCTAAACAAATATCACAATTTAGCAAATGTGCTAGATGCATATTTGACGTTTTTTTAAAACCCCCAATCCAACAGTGGGCGACAGCGTTAAAATCGGTTGTACCGCAGGCGGCCAATAAAGGTATATCAAAACAGTTAAAAAAGATTCACTGGAGAGTCGTCCAGATGTTTTTCGAACTCAAGTTTGCGTTAGATAGTAAAGATTCTACTGCAGTGATTACATAATAATCACAGAGGCTGCATGGTTCCAACCCAAATCAAGCATTATAATAAAATTCTTTTAATATTCCTATGTGAATTTTGCTGAACACTGCTGTCCAGCTAATTGTGCACCCTCTCCATTTAGAAACAGATTGCTGAAATTTTTTGGAGTGTTTTACGCCAAAAAAGCTGCATCGATTAACCAGGAAACAAGCAGTACAGAAGACCATAGTATGAGATCGTCTTCGTAGCATCAATGTTGAAATTCGTACACACTTGAAGCTTTGCTTCACCGTGCTGATTTCCACCTACTGGCAAACAGCATTATTCTGAAAACTGCTCGGGGCGAGGTCACCAGCGTCCGGCCAGAAATATAATTAAATAAGCAGGAGTCACTAGGGTAGCAAAGAAAACTGTGAGGCAATTCAAACGAAGTATGCTGTAGAAATAAAGCTGACACACTAATTCACCATCTGCTATGCAGCAAAGTAGTATACTGCAGACAAGAAAATATAGTTAATCGTTTTCAATACAAGAAGACGAAGTCTGCCTGTTAAGTTGAGAGCTCGTCGTGCCTTTAAAACGAAGACACACTTCGTTCAACTCACCGTGCTTGTCACCAATATAGTCAACAAACGCTCTCATGTTTTTCACATTTTGTTCAGCTTTCGTCCATTCAATTGGAGAAACACGAACTCCTTTCTAGAAGTTGGAAGAAACATACATTACAATCTTGGGGTCACCCATCAGTATTCTCCAGTATCTGGAAGAAATAGCGCAGTCCGAACTTACATCTTCGTCAACCACCTTGGACTGACAGTTTACGTCATAGTTTATCTTCAGCTTGGTTGATTGGTTTTCAGACATTGTCGCTGTGGAGCATAAATTCTACCAGTGCCAAAAATCGCATACGTAAAAGTCTGTTCGAATTTATACCCCGAGACTATTGTCGCATTGGATGAAATTCTGGTCCAACCGGGCATCAGCATTTTTGGCCATGCTGATTACAAGAAGTCCAAAAAGCGAAGTTCAGTGAGCTCTCAAAAGTTTTGAGTATGTATTGGCCTGCAGACTTGGGTAGAAGGATCAGTTTTGTTTTCTCATAATGTCCCTGGTTTACAGAAGCACCTCTTCTGATATTATTCTGAATAAATCAGTTCATAAGTATCGTTTACATTAGCAACAGGTCTGAATGTCGTTCCAGAGCATAAAACAGGTTGGTAACGACGCGAACAATATGCCAATCTCCTACATTTTCAAACCTGTCCACAATCTGGTGTTATGTATATAGAACGGACGGTTCATTCAGGTGTCATCAGAACCAATTTTCAGCCGCATACTTTGGCGGACTTTCCATCCATGGTCTTGTAAAGATGTGCTGCGTTTATCTGAATCATATGTGGTAGCTGATCATCGCGGTTCTGGTTACTGCACTGTCACACTATCACAGTATCCGACCATACCGATATCTGTTATAGCGGCATCTTCGAATCCCGCACTGTACAATTACAGCTTACTTGTAACATCATCCTGGACTTGTTGAGCGACCGAAGCTCGAAACAACGCAGAGAACTGCCTACGGTTGGCACGCAGTTGTCTGCACGCAAAGTGGTCCAAAATCCGCCGTGATAATTATTATAACCACAGTACCCCGTCCAACGAACTAAGACAACATTGGTGGGCTCGTTGATGTTGTAAGCTTACGTAAAAAATTCATTATGCCAAAACTGAACGTAAGAATGTAACTTGAGGGGAAAAGCTAGACGCTTGTTGTCGATCTTAGCAACTGTCAAAATCTCCAGTTACCAGTCTGGTTACCTGGCCCCAAAGTTACGTACACCAACCGAACATTCAGTACTTTACTTGATCATTAGATGGCTGATAATTAAGTCCTTCGACTCCTTCAATTTAGTTTATTATTATCAGCCTAGTTATGTACGTTCATTTGCCAACATTCAATGAGGTGTCAGTGTGGCTTCTCAATCCATCCGTTGACTTCAGGAAATCAGTACCGTATACTTGAAAAACGCTAGCCAGATAATTCTGCATCATAGTACATTATACACAGATATCACGTCAAGGCATTCCATTTGTCTCAACACCCTTTTGGCTTAGGAGCCACCTAGATAGTTCTTTTCAACCAAGTAAGGAAAATCAATTTTAAACGATGGATCAAGCTGGATCTACCCAAGTCTCCTGCGAAAACCAAATTCTCGCGTAAATAAGAGTGATTATCGGAGTTAAAGTGACATTAGGTTAGACTAGATTGTTCAGGATGAAGTAGAACCCGAACACCCTAGGCTCGACAACTGTCGCGCACTGTACCTTTAGAGTTGTGTTGCTTTAGATGCACACCGCAAATTGGTATTTCAGGCGCAGCTTTCACCACCTAACCTCGAAAATTTTAGGGTAACGTCGTTGTAAAATTCTCAGTGTGTGGCCTCGATACATTTTCAAGGAACAAAACAGTCAACTGGGAGCCGGAAAATGACCGTTTCAAGTCATTTTGGGACAAGGTTTGTGTACAGCTAGGTGGTGAATGTCCAGCGTCCACAGTCCGTAAAAGCTAGTGAAGGAAAACAAAGTTGAATAAGGCGCTATCCGATTTACGGTGCCAAATGCACCTCGGACATGGTCAGGTTACGATTCACAAGCATACGAACCAAATAAGGCACTTTGAGTATACAGTATATAGTTGCTCAAATTAGAAATGGTTTCAACTCCTACCACTTCCTTAATGTTGAAATAGACTTAATCGGATCACTATATAAGTAATGATTGGCATCTAGTAGAATGCCTTCTACCAAACTGCTACAGGTGTTGATGTTTCGCTTTCACTTCACACGCTATTCAAAGTACATTTCCTTAAAGAAACACTCTTCAAGAGCTCAAAACCGGTTTCGCCCTTTCGTAGCTCATACCTAGGCGCAGTCCCCGAGTTTTCCTCAGCCCTTGTTCCCCTTGAACCCAAGTCGCACAACATTTTCCAAAGACACACATGGGCATGACTATTTAGTTTCAGCAAGAGATTCATCTGGTGGAAACTAGGGGACTGCACCTATCTGATGAGCTCCAAGAAGGGCGGAGTCCGTTATAGACTATCAAAGAGTGGTGTGTTACGCCTGGACAAAACTGACTCACTTTATTTACTTTACATCCTGCGACCTAAAGCATTTATGACAATAACACTTTCCAACCTGAGACCCAGAAATGAAGCAATCGTTAAAAATTAAGTCGTCTGCGTTATCTTTTGGATACGAATAACAAAAAGAGCAAGGCTGACCGGAATAGATCTGCAAGTAGTTTTGCATATTCATATTAAGAGCACGCAAGTCTACCAACTTCTTAGGGCTTATGAAGCCAATTTGAAGCTGAGGAAAGGCCTGGGAATCCGAGATATCTACCAAAAATAACAATGTGATTGATGTGACTATGTTAAGAAGAATACACAAGAAAAAAAGTTGACCGGAGCCAAAAATACTCGAATCAAGCCCAATCGAGTCCGGTACCTAATTCCAAAGATACCAACTTGTGCCGACGTATTCCCTGCCCACGATTTGGATCAGCATCAGCTAATCAACATGACCGGAATGAAAGCCAACAACTTTGGGTTGAATCTGTAGTGCAGAAATGTGAACGCTATTTTCGGACAAACCGTGTAACCAGTAGCTACTCTGTTCTGAAGTCCATTAGGCAGATTTCCGGATCTCTGCTTGCAACCAGCAACTGGTCATCTGGCTCAAATAGCGAGGCAAACGCTTCAATATGCGCTTTCATAAGCCCCACTGTGCTCTATAATGAAACTGCATGTGAATCAGTTCGCCTGCTTTTACGAAGGATACAGGAGGTAGAAAACTAGAATATTCTCGTGCCGGACATGCTGAGGCGTCCAGAAAGGCACATTTCCAAGGTCACGGGCTCAAAACTCCTCGTAGTTACTTAAGATGCGCATTGCTGATGATTTCCCACAGAAATGGAACAGCTGTGCACTGCTTGTAGGCTCTTTCTCATAGATTAGATTCGCTTACAGAGCAAAATGTCAACCGGAAACCTTTAAATCTCCACAAATTTCCAACACCGCTCATGCAGATTAAATAATTGTTGAATGTCGCTTGAGAGCTTCTGTTGGTTAATATATGTGACTACGTCCCAGGATTAATGAGAACGATATGACACCAGTAAGGTGGAGTTCGGGTACTTGACATTCTGGCTAAGAGCATTTCAAATGCTTGTTCCTCTAGAGTGTCTTTTACGACGTTACCACAGTCTGGTGAAAAGTCCAGATCAAGTGTTCGGATCAGGCTACCCACATTAAACCTAAGAAAATCTAGTTGATGAATCTTATTTCTTCACGTGGCAACTCAGCTAACGGCTCAGTAGTAGCCCATCAACTGTTTGGCGAATCTTCCAGAGACGGTGATATCTCGAGTGGTTCCAAACATCTTTCAACTAACCATTAAGCCCGGTCATTTGTCTTCACGCCAAAAACAAAAGTAAAGTATCATGGCACAGTGGCCTGAGGCAATCCGGGCGTTAACATTTCGACGCCAGTCGATCAGGTATGATCAATGTGTAACAGGTGAGTGGTACAACGTAGCTTAAGAGTTCGTTGATATACGAACTATAAGAAACGATGGAAAGATAAGCGAAAGCAACAAACGCTATCACCTCTGACGGACGTAGTACAGAATCGCAAAGTGAAAGTAATTGCGTGAAGTCGAATTTCTGCTACCAAAAAGTTAGGAGAGAGATAGAGGTTAGCTATGGCAACGAACAGAAGTTCTGATAATGAACATTGCTGGTACCTGGGGACCAAACGTTGTGTAGACTTCGTAATGAAGTCAAACAGTACCTATGTGGACTTCCTTCAGATTAACGTGTACCGATACCCTCGCCTCGTTGTGACAGTCTATCGGTGGGTTAGTACTAGTTACGGTACATTTTGCTGAACTTTCTTTTGTCCTCAGTTCAAGATCGTTAGCGTAGTAGCTTCTTCTAAATTCTTGGGTATGAAAGCGCAACACACCCAAAATCTTGCTTCTTTAAAAATAAGCCTTCTGAGCAAAATCACCACTGAATGGCTAAAGTTTTCCAAGCATGTATTTGGCAATGAAATACAAAAGGACCATAAACCCGTGCAGTTGTAGGACACAGTTTCAATCGAAGACACTGGACAGTGGATGCAATCAAAGTTTAAATCAGGGATTATCCCTTCGTGACTGTGGACCATCAAAGGACACATTCCCATGAGATTACATGCGCGCCCTGTTTTTCACCTATTGACTGCATGCTCGTAGGTTTACAGTACTGATTTTCGTTTAAAGACCACAGATACCCAACTAGAAACTGACTAGGAAGCACAGAATAAAATGGGTAAAAAGCAGTTTGTGATTGTTAGAGAAAGTTGGCACAGACGGCACGGATATAAAATTGTCGTTAGTTGCGCGACGAATTCCTCTCACTCCCCTCCGTACTTGAATATTAGTAATAACATAATTTCGACTGAAAACACTTCCGTATACTGGTCTAAGCAAGATAAACTGACGGGACTTGGTGCCCACCTCAGAAGCCAGTGGCAAACATACTGGGATCAACCCATCCACTGCTTAGAATGAATGAGTTCCAGACCATTCAACCTCAATATTGTACATGAAGTCAGTGATAAAACCATCACAAATCAATAACAGTACACCAAACCGACCATTAGAAGAAACACCTAAACTAAACAGCTCACAGTAAATCAAAAGACACAGTAAGACGAAAAATGAAAACTTTATCCAGCAGAAAGGTACTATGTGAACCGGTAAAGAACAAGATAGTTGGACCGCAAGAGAAATATCAAAGGTGATCACATCAAAGAAAAACCT